AACTCTATCGACAAGATTTATGCTCACCTTTCGTGACTGTCACCACCTAATGGCTAACGAACATTTGTCAGTATAGTGTCAGTCACTTCACTGACACAATTACAGACCTGATGAATACTACTCAGCTGAGTTAAGCTCGTCTTCGAATAACGCTGATCAAACTTATTGAAGTGATTACTTCTCTTTCTGACAACCAATTTCACTCCTTACTTCAATGTTCACACTACAAATTGAAGTAAGCAATGCAAATCTCGACCAGTAAGACAATGAAATCCTCGAAATTAAACCGCCTACACGTCAAGGGAGACAACAACAACTCCAAACATACACCTTAACTATAGATATCCTCTACACTATTTCACAACTCAACTAACACTTGTGATTAAACATCAACATTGGTTAATATGCAGCCAAAAACCTCGGAAACTTATCTCCCTGTATGTATCAGACACTGCTGTTACTATTCTATACTATGAAGCAGAATAGTGGGTGGATTCACCTCCAACACAATTCAGTTTTAGTGAAAATGTGTCCAACAAACCTGTCACAAATATGATTTCAGACTGACTACAGGACAATATAACATTGGTAGGAAATCAGCTATCACTATACTAAGTGAAAACATACTTAGCTTAGGTAGAGCTTGAGTGAATTACCTTATAAACGATCGAACAGTATAACCTTGCTGGACACTCGAAGCTGCTTGTTTTTGGTTGTAGTTAGCAGTGTAATGCAGGATGCACGTTTCTCCCCCCCCCAGTTGAGACTCACCACTCAGTCAGTGCACTCGTACTCCAGTGACTGACACTGCTCCTACTGAGAACCTCCTGAAAATGATATTCGAAACGTGAGATGTACGAATGTTGGATGCAACAAAGCCACATGTAGATTGAAAGCCACAGTTCACTTGGTTAGCAATCATACCAGTTTTTGTGAAGTAGTATCAGCCAATTAAGGATACGTGGCAATCATTGGTTAAACAGTTCACAGGTGTTGTTCTGTAAGCCACAACTCGCATGTGCCTGTACACTATAGTATCACTGCACTTGATGCCTTCTTAATTGTATCAACTTGCACAGATGCAACTCTACTCAAAGTCCTACACTGATTTGTCATGTAGTCATTACACGTCATGCCTAACTACCCACCCTCATTTGCTCCTCAAACGTTTCTTCAACAAATGGAATTTTTAAATATCCGACTGCTTTTCTAATGGTAACATTTGTCGAAAGACAATATTTCGGAAAATACAAACAGAATTTGTGACAAATGACGACAAAGTGACCAGTCAGACGCGAAATATCAAGGCACGGAGACGTGCTAGTTGAATGCGACAAAGAGTAATACGATACTCATAAAACCCATACCATTGTGCAACTCCAACTCACTGATCCTATGCACTCGACTATTAACCATAAGGGTTAAGTGTTGGAAACCTGCCCCGTCTACCGACGTTTCGGTGGTCAGATAGTATAGTTACGTAACCCATAGACTCAGGAGGTATGACGTATTGGAAACTGAATACGAATGCAAGTGATTGCTGGTTAGCACGGAAATATCCACTTCATACGATAGTCACAACTGATAAATATAAAATCTCCACGCGCACACACAAAACTACTCACTGTATTCTATTCACTGCCACTTGCATATTGACACTCAACACGTTCTTCAGTTTATTCTATGCATATTAATATACGGTATTGAAAATGATTAACAAGCAAACGAAACCTAGATGGCTATCAAACGATTAAAACCAAATTTATATACCCAGGAAGACGGTGGTAATTCGTGAACTGCCTCAGTATGACAAAATACGCAATTTCATTACGTCATTTCCCATTCAAATTTACAAAATCTTTCTCTTTCATCTAGACATCACTCACACTACTTCGTTTTCGCCATTTTATAAAATCATATTTCCTGTAGTCATGTCACCCACTACATTGTTATACTCTCCCCCATGTTAAACTATGTTTCAGAGTTACTGATTAAGTAACAACTTACATCATTCCAGACTTATGTTACGCTTAGATCCTACCGACCAACTCCACGGATCGCCAAAAAAATATACTCAAATTTTGAAAATAATAATTTGTATTTTTAGATTGTTCAGGTTGCAGCCAGTTGAGAAGAGTCCTCGAAATAAGAAAAGATGAAATGAAGCTATCCTGATGCATTTTTCGTTCATGCATTTTTCAAATAACGGTAACCGTCTAGTCTAGCTCAACATTTACGAGACAAGATGAAAGTCGCTATACTGGCGAATAGAATGACCTATTCCACCGGCATGAGTGGTGAGTTATAGACACAAACACACACACCCCACATAGTGCGCTCACAATCAAACCTCTTTATTACTTTCACTGCAAAACTAGAAATAAAATTTTAACCATCAGAATACGTGAGTGGATTTTGCGAGTAATCAACTGGTACTCAAAGCTATGACAGGCTAAAGTCACAAGAGTCGATAACACTGTACGAAATGACACATTGAAAATGGATATATACACATATAACGACTTATTTATTTCAGTAACTTGTACTTCAACCAATTAGGTAGGCTAAAATGCATAACAGAAGTTCGACTAGACCAAGGATAAAAAAGACAATCCCCTTCCGACAAAAATAAGTCTAATACACTCATTAAACATTGGATTTCAGCTGAAATGCCACCGCTTATTATTGCCTGAGTCAGTCAGTACATGAGACACGAAACTGTCAACTAAAGACTATCCTGTCCAACTACTAACATGATGAACAATTCAAAATGCTGACTCACAGGTTAACAAAACTTAATATGGTTTGAAACACCTCAACATCTATTTATTTAATGCCCACGAAATCTCGGTGATGCATTGAGTTGTCAGGATCCATGATTAGTGATATCACCCAGTCGACCAGACTTAAAGTAGGTGGTGTGGGAATCGATGCGTGACAGCCATTCAATCTAGCTGAAGTACTTAAGTCAACTAATTGAGCCATATTTCCATAAAAGGTTAACCAGGGAAAATCTATTCCATTTCCAATCGCATTCACCAACGTAAAATATACTGACAAAGGACAGTTTGTCTAGATCCTCTTATAATAATAATAATAATCACTTTATTCCACAACAATAACAATTTACAGCATGGAATTTTCAGCGTTTCATTTTACATATTGCATTGGTTTAGCTCTTTTTATAATTATGTAAATGTATGAAATGTTAAAAATATTGATAATTAATAGGAAAAAATAAAAAAACCCAACAAAATCACACCATTTCCAGGTCATAGTGAATAATAAATAAATAATATAACAAATAACGCATGCAATAATATGCATCATTGCATTTTATAGTTTAGTTAATGATTTAAAAGTTGTAAAAGTTCTTTTCTGATATTCGTCTCTTCACACAATACTCGTGCCAAATATGGTACGGTCGAATTTTTATATTTTGTAGTACGAGCATAAATGTTTATGAAATTTCTTCTGGTCTTACCCGAAGAGATACAAGGAAACAAATGTGAATAAAGAGGATGTTCACTATCAGACAAAATAACTTTAGCTAAGTGTTTACAAGAATTCATGTGCCTATTGACAACAGTGTCGGTTAGTTGAGTCAAAGGGATAGCACTGACCCTACTTACAGCCTTCAATGTTCTTCGTAGTATTATATGGTCTTTCTTGAGTAGCCCAGGGAAGAATACTGGAAAACAGCTATCCAACTCCCTATCTACATACTGGCTACTCAAATAGCTCATCTGGGTTACTAGTGTTCAATCAGACACACTACTGAGTAGAGGAACTCAAAGTGAATACACACGAATGATACATTGAATTAAAACACTCGATAACATGTAAATAATTTAAGCTCTCAGATCACATCTACGCGAGTCATTTACTCCTCAAAATGCACAAAATCAAGATACACTACGAATAAGTCAAGGCCGGCTACAATAAAAACCGAAGTGCAACCACATACTCTACACTATCCTATACTGTTATCAATCATGTCACCCACCCACTCACTCGCTCACATCCACCACCCCAAACCTTGTACGCTCACTCGAAAAACGCACAAAACCACCACCACCAACAACAACAAACAAACAAACGGATTTTGAGAAATGTCAATTAAACAATGAATGATTAACGCCAAAATAAAGCACGCTGATATAAATATATAAATAACAAAACAAGAAATGAATCTTTGTAATAATAACAATAACAGTAATAATACGAAGAATGGTAAAAAAAAAATGTACAAAATAGTTTTCCCGAAAGAACTTCAAGGTGTTAATTCATCATTTTTATGATTACAGTTGTAACAACAGGCAGCTAACTCATACAAGTCGAGGTCTGTGATAGAGTAGAGTGTGCATGTCTCTCTATGTATGTGTGTGTGTGAGTAGCATATTGAATAGAAAGAAAGGTCACGGTAGGCGACAATTAGTGTCTTACATAACAGCTGTACTCTTACAAATAATACAAAAGTTTAATTATATTAAAAGTGTGAAATGCAAATGTTATGAAAAGTGGACAATAACAACTAAATCATAATTTTTATCATTACTGTTAATACTTTTGATAAATTAAGTAATAGATTCCGATTTATGTAAAAGAAGTTTGAGATTCAGGAATTATAAGACACTGTGTGATTTATCAAAATAAAATCTTAACCATTATGGAGTTATACTCTACCACAGTGCCCAAGTTTTATACTTATATCAATTATAAGACGAATTTACAAGCCTCCTCCTTTCTTGTTCACACAACAATGCTAAAACATCCGTTGAACACAATCCACTTGTTGTGAAAAATTACTATGAATGGAATGTGCGTGATGTGTAAACAATGCCATTTGAGGTCAGATCACGTGGCCCTGAACATACATCAGAGTGAAAGAAATAAGCACACAAACACACACAGGGATGGGAATTTTGTATCTGGACAGGAATCCTGTGTCTGTCTATCAGGTGTGTGTGTTACATGTGAATATGATGTTAGGGACTCAGTCAAGAGGAGAAGGGCGTCGACTCCCTTTCCCGTCGACCCATTTCCCTCAATAAAAATTCAGCCATTGAAGCTATTTCGTCTTCATCAATATCACAAACAGTGACACTGGCACAAGTCGAAGTTGTACAATCCAGTGGATTTATGGTTGAATGGAAGGAGGAGAAAGCAGAGGCGGAGTTAACAGATGATCCCTTCGCCATCTCTTCTGCTAAAGTGGTAGCTGTTATCCAATCCTCATCAACTGGAAAATTAGAATGATTAAACTGGGTATTTTGATCCACTAAACATTCATTAAACCGATCACTACTCTCATCCTGTTCTTGTATAATGCTTGACGATAAACGCTCGTTGATTGGATGAGATGGATAAGGAGGAGAAACAAATGGTGAAATATCCGACAAAGGATTACGAGACCACCAACGACGTCGTAAACGACAAGCACTCCTACCACCTCGCGGATCATCATTCTCCGAATCTTCCATATTATCACAAGCAGTTTGGTAAATACAACCCTCATCGATGATAATGTTGTCAACATCTGTGGCAGTATTCACCTGTAACTCTACATCCGCAGCACTTCGTTTTCGTTGTTTGCGTCTTTCACGAATTGACGGATCATTGGACATTGTCGGTTCTGACGGTCGATTATGCCTTTCGTTTTCAGGCTTATTTGACTGTCTTATACGATAATTAGGTGAAGTTGGGACACTGTAAGAAAGGGGATCTGAAGATGTTGCATCTGGCCAGTATTGCAAATCCAAATTCTGGTGCTGCATTGATGGATCTAAAAAGCTAACATGACGACCCTGTTCCACGCGTACTGGCAGCAAACTCTCATCTTCACCACGATAAACGGAGAGTCGGTTATGACTTATTCCCGAATCAAATCCTCCTGAAATCAAACGCCGCTTCTTGTAAACAAGAAAGTGCCTCTCTGCACAATTCCTCACCAACATATATATCTCACCAGATGAGAGACCCAAAAGTTCTTTCAAATCACACTTAAATTTGTAAAGGTGACGTTTCTCATGAATCTATAATAAGAAGAAAAAAGGATATAATAAAAATTATTCAAACAACTCACTGTAACGCAAGTCGGTAAGGTCAAGTGTTAATGCATATGGATTGAAGTTAATCATCAGTTTCACAAAGTCACTCACTCACCGTCTGCGCATTCTCCATTACTGACCGATATAGCTGCTACCTTGATGTGGTGGTCAGGCTAGAACATCGCAATGACCCGACAAGCTACATTGGCTGGAAATATTGTTCCTGCAGGTCACACCATCCCAGGAAGGTTGTTAGGATAGCGATTGGGCTAGACACAGTTACCGGCATAGTGTGGGAATTTTTCTTTTTTACACTGTGCTGGGGGTCTGTAGGCGAAGTCGTACTGCCAATGGGGAACAGGGATGTAACAGAAGTGAGGTGTTTCCCTCAAATGACCAGCATGCCAGCCACCTATGCTGTCTGTCCACTCTGCTGGACTGAGGGGGTTAGAAAAGGTCGACCTCAACAATTGTACATCACGACTTACCCCACCTTCGGTGTCCCGTAACCACCGTAAGTTTACTAATACGCAACCAAACCAAGAAACCAGTTCATACACGCCGTGTGTCACCGGCCAGCATCAAGCAGTTGTCCCCTGGGCTCTGCAGTCACGCAACACTAATCCTCTCTCTGTTCCAGGTACCCGAAAAATCAATCAATTTACACGGTGTGGCCAGCCGGGAAGTAACAACCACCCATTTACTTCCAAACACACACGAAGCCTCCCCGATCAACATCATTCTCCTTTACCGACATCACCTTCATCATCTTACTCCCCTAATAAAGTTAGTATTTTTCTTCAGGCTAGTGAGTCATCTTCACTTCACTCTGTGACCACAAACAACGATCAGAGCCATAGAAACATCCCCGACAGCCTCTTAAAGACACGTCGACAACTTCAAACAGAAGCATTTAACGTCAAGACCCACTGCCAAATTGAACAACACACATCACTAGCCAGTACTCTGGCATCTCCAGCCATGGATGCATGTTGTGTTCCGGAGAAACGCATACAAGACCTGAGTGTGGTCATTCACTTAACGTCACCTGACCAACACGGTGAATCTGCTAAATTTACCTTAAGAGGATCAGGAGACCCCTCAGCTAGTTCGCGAGGACTCGCAGGTGTAGGTACAGATAACATTGAGTGTTAGGGCGGAAAAATCACTTCTTGACTGGATACCATTAGATAGCCGTATGTATGCGGCCCGTCTGAATGGGTCCGTTAGAAGAAGGAAGGACAGCGTTACCCGTCGTTGTCTTTTCGCTGTCTCCGCTTATGCCCCAAAAGACTGCAGGTCGGATGAACTAAAGGATGATTTCTACCTGAAACTGTCTAATTTGCTGCAAAAGCCAAAACGTTCAGATATAGTTATTTTAGCAGGCGACTTCAATGCCCAAGTAAGGAAGTTGGGCCAGATTGAGAAGTATGTAGGTGGTACGTATGGAGTTCCGTGCCGGAGAACCGACAACGGTGATCGTCTTCTACACTTCTGCTCAGATAATCATCTGTTCCTAGTCAGCACTAACTTTAGGCATGAAGACAGACACTGCGTAACCTGGCAACTTCCATCACCAGATCAACGCTGGACTCAGCTCAGATTGACCACATAGCGATAGGGTATGGTTGGCGAGGGTCAGTAGAAGACTGTTGGTCCTTTGGGAACACGTGCGTAGACTCCGATCACGCTCTGGTTCGCTCACGTTTATGATTACGACTAAATGGACATGAGAAATTGCTGGCAGCGATACAGTGACGTCCACAACTAGATCGAGACTCTGAGTCTCTCCCTATTTAAGGAAGAAATAGTGAAACGTGTATCTGAGGTCGACAGCAGGACTTCCCCTGAGGTAGCTTGGCACAAAATACAGTTAGTTAGCTGTAGACACAGCTGTGAAAGCTGTCAATAAGCTAAAACCAAACGTTAATAAGAACCATTGGATCTCTACTACTTTATTCGAACTGACTGACGCAAGAAGGCTGATTCCGGCGAGCTCTGATTATGTTGAGAAGGGAAAGCTACTCAAACGCAAATTAACAAGAAGCCTTCGTAACGACCGTGAACACTGGTGGCGGGCGACGAAAGTGAAAGAGATGGAAAAGGCATCTGTGATTGGTAACACCAGACAACTACTTAGACTTTTCAGGGAAACAGGTGGTAAAAAGCTATCGATCAGTGAAACAATCTCGGAGAAAAATGGCACCATAATTAGCTCCCAGGATAGACGACTGGAACGCCGGAAAGAGCACAACGAGGAGCAGTTTAATTGGCCTACAGCCATACCCAACTTAGCGAACAGCCAACGCCTCTCTGAATGGCATATAGACACAGGTTTCTTAGTCCCTAACTGAGGTCACTAAGGCTGTCACTAGTCTGGAACGAGGCAAAGCAGAAGGACCTGATGGGATGACTCCAGAGGTATTTAAGTACGGTTGAGACAGTTTACTGTCTGCGTTAACTGAGGTACTAGGTAGCGTCTAGGAATCAGAGGAAGTCCCGTCGGGTTCGTGTAAGTCACTGATTATCCCCATATATAAGAAGAGAGACAAGTCTTCCTGTGATAATCACAGCCGGATTAGCTTGACTTACAATATGGTATCTGAAGTTCTAGGCTCAATAATAATGCGTAGGCTGAGTGGTGCTTGGGAGGCACAAACATGAGAGAACCAGACAGACTTTAGACCAGGAAGAGGGTGTATTGATCACATCTTCACCCTTCGACAGACTCTGGAACGAAACATAGGCATACTTACCGGCGTCATTTAATTCTGTCGAACGAGAGCTTCTCTGGCGATGCTTGGCTGTAAAAGCAATGCCGAGAAAATACATTGCACTGGTCAAGGCATTCTACTCGAACTCATGCATTTAGCCAGGTGAGGGCCTACGGCGAGTTGTCATCTGAAGTGGTGACAACTAATGGTGTCCGTCAGGGATACCCATTGTCCCCATTTCTATTCAATTTCATCATAGATCCCATACTAATGGACTTAACCCTAACTCACTTCAGAGTCTCACGGATTGACTTGTTACCAGGGTTTGAATAATCTCGTTGACTTAGAGTATGCAGATGATATAGCCCTCCCTCCTTGGTGAAGACACTGACAAAATGCACAGTCTTCTGAACACCTTCAGCTGAGCAACAATCTACGAATGTTTGGTATGCGATTCGCTCCCCCTGTCAAATGTAAGATGATGTTACAGGACAACACTACTACACTGACTCCAGGTTTAGAAACAAGGAGTGAAGTGGTAGAGCACGTTGACCACTTCACTTAATTGGGAAGTTGTATCAGTCAGTGCCAGCTGGTCGATCGCTGTTGAGATCTCAGCACGGATACAGACGGCTAGTTTCGCATACGCCAGTTCACGTCGTCTCTGGTGTAGACGGGATATCCAGCTGGCTGCCGAATAAAGGGCGGGTGTATTGCTCAGCAGTTCGCTCCGTCCTCCTTAACGGCTGTGAGTGAGATATGGTAATTGAGAGTGGAAGACATGTAAGACATGGTAACTATGTTATTTGTGTATGTATATGATACTGCATAATCACATGTCTAACTCAAACGATATTCAGTAGCAGAAGTCCTTTTTGCTCACTCACTCACTCCCTTCATTCAGAAATACGAATCTCAATAACAATACCATAGATTACAAAACAAATGTACCATATAAACAAAAAATCCCTGATCAAGATACACGGCATAGTAAGTGAAAGCAAATCTATGAAAATCAGATACCTTTGAAATCACATCATCATAATAAGATAATGCTATAAGAAATTCCCTAGGCCTCATAGTAGGCTTGTTCTTTCGATGACCCCACAGAGCAGCTACTTCATCTGGAAAGCTTATTTTGAATTCACCATTATTACTGATCCAGTGAATAACTTCACGATATCTCCAGTCTGTAAGTAGTTCTAGCAAGAATTGCCACAGTTCAACCTGTCCTGCAATGCTGTCGTCGAATTCAGAAAACGATTGGTAATTTAGAATTCCTTGTGAGATAGAATTACCACCGTTATTTTGAGTTAATATAAATGGACCCTATGAAAAAGCATAAATAAATTCATTGATAAAAAATAACGAAGAAGTGAAAATCTATCAACTTTCAATTGCCAACAGATAAGTGAGCATTAGGTACTGCGCTCACTCACTCACTCAGTCACCCACTCACTCAATCACTCACTCACTCACTAATTCAACTTACTACAGTTGAGTAGAATATCTATCATTTGCTACTACAAAACAAAACCTTCAACATGAAGTCATAGTAACTTACTACCCCGTTTTTGCATTATTTATTCAGATTGGATCAAATTAATACAAAACAGATCCTCTGATCATTTAGGCTGATGTATCTCACAGTTTGCCTTAGCAGACAACATAACTCGTAAAGTTAGCCACTAACACGTCAAAAGCTCGAAAGCGCGCTGTGCATGCAGGCTTCAGTAGTCTTCACTGGTCTCTCGCAACCCTAAAATCTTTGTCACGTTTCAACTATATAACCATATTCACTAACTTGAGACGTTATCAGACACAGTCATCACACCACAGCCTTCTCTCAGTAGAAACATAATACTTGTCGAGGTTGATTCGATCTCCCTGTCTGTCTTTCTCTCTCTCTACACTCAAAACTATTCGAATTCCCTCCCTCCCCTGCCTTCTCCTGATTTTCCCACTCACATTCAGTCACAGTATAACATTCATTATTTATGCCGCAGATTGCATTATACCTACACATATACTCTACCAAAATTATATTTCACACAAATAAATAATTATCGGGTCCCAGTGGCTTAATGGTATACGAGCTCGCTAGCCTTGTAACCAGAAGGTCCTGGGTTCGAATCCCGGTGGGTGTGCACAGCTGCAGAGTCCCAAACTAGGACGAAATACCTGTCCAGTACTCCCTGAAGGTTTTCCAATGGTTCTCTAACTAATGTCAGCTCATGATGAAAATGCCGTAATCAATCAAATCCCTACAAACCAACACTTGAAAATTATTATCTCTCATCCACAATTAAGGTGGTTTGCACTTTGAAGTCAGGGGCTTATCATCACCTGAAGTAAGATGAATCTTCGAAAGACAATTGAAGCAGTCAACCCACCTAGTGAAGAACCATTTCATCACATATGCGAGATTTAACTGATCGACTGAACTGTTTCACATAAACTCCTTTAACTTGCACCAAGTTATAATCTGTGTGAACAAAAGATACTTAAATAAGATTACTAAGTTTATAACGCTCAGCTCCCAGTCTGATTGACTTAGGTTTATTCTAAACAAAATCCCCTTCAACAGACACAGCCTTCTTATTATTTCCACATAAACGAATATCTGAGAAATTCAAACAACAGCTCAATTGGAAACCCATCCTATCGGCCGTCTATAATAAATCTGATGAAAATCTGTTGACTAGTGGAAAACGATGCATAAACTCGCCACATAAACTTAATCGTCTCTATCAAGACAGGTTCAGGGACGTTGAGGTAATCTCTGAAATCCCTGAGTGACAATTCTGTGTGTCCATAATACCAAGCAGTCGACGTTCAAAATCCACAGTAATGTTATCATTTAAAGACCTAAACTGACGTTTTCGTAAACTCAGCCTATAGGGGATCAATAAAGCTATTCACAAACAGTTCACTTGTACGAAGGATAAAGTTTGTGTGGTAATCAATCCTGTGAAAATATTCACATGAAGCAGGAGTTAACCAGGAAAGAATAACATCACCATTCCTCTCCCTACAATTATCCAAAATGAAATGCATGAAAGCTTTCCAAATAAAACAATTCAGTACTCAAAACAAACAAATACAATTCAAGAAAACAACTTCTTACGCGCATCAACTGACTTCCACCAGCACCGACACTACTAACACCATTCGATGATGAACGTATTTCATACAAACCATTATTCATTGTCTCATAATTGGCTGGATTTTGGCTCATACAATTTTCACTACTCAGAAATGATCGTAACGTCACTGTTCTTCTTCCAGGCGCAGTTGTCGACACACTCATATTTGAATCATTATACGATGGAAAGTATGGTTTCGAACTAACCATGAGTAAATTGGTATTATCTGTATCGTAAGCAGTTAAGGCGCCAGAATATGATGGTGAAAAGGCAGTGCCTGCTAAAGTGAGCACAAAAACCAATGGAACATCTAATATTGCTACATAACATTCACTTAAGAATCAGATGACAATGTACAAGCAAACCAATTACAAGCTTCTCTCCACATACTAGACCACCAGGCCATACACAATCTTTCACGTAGCAGACAATCAGTCACACCAGGTGTCTTGCAGCCCTGCTTTCCGACTCCATGAAATGGAGAAAAGCATACTTCAGCATAACAGTCACAGGAGGAATGTTACACAGACATGAAAAGTGGAGCAGGTTAGTAATTACACTCACACTACACACAATCATCTCTAGACAACGGAGTAATGTTCAGCCTGCATTCACACAAATCTATGTGACTAGCATCCTCAGGCTAAATCTTCGTGTCTACGCTGAATCTGCCTGCCATAATAAAAACTGCTTGCTGTAAAACTGATTCGGTCTCTTTTCTGCCTGTTCAATTTCTTTCTTTCTGTAATTTCTTTTATTTCGTCTATTTATCTAATATCCCTGAGTAATCTAGGTTGTTTCGTCTCCCTTCAGCTCGTTGGTTTCAATGTCTCTCACCAGCAACACGGTGTATTCGTCAACATAAACTACCAGTCAGGTGACTTCACGTGCATTCGCTTAAATCCATTCAAATGGCTAACAACGTACATCAATTCACCAAAACTTGAATATCGATGAGATGCTCACTGGCGACTGGTCCTATTCAGGTAGGTAGCTACATGTGGTTCCAGTGGGAAGTCGTGACCAGTAGGGTGCAGCAGGTGGGGTGTGAGGACAAATACTCTCCAAGACATTGGCTAGCGGTCGTGCTATTTCGTGAATTGGGAGAAGGTAGAATTCATGCACTGGCCATTGGATCGGGTCCCAGTGGCTTAATGGTCTACGAGCTCGCTAGCCTTGTAACCAGAAGGTCCTGTTTCGAACCCCGGTGGGTGCGTACTGCTGCAGAGTCCCAAACTAGGACGAATCGGCTGTCCAGTACCTCAGGTTTTCCAATGGTTCTCTAACCAATGTCAGCTCATGATGAAATCTTGCAACCAATCAGTCAAATCCCCACAAATCAATACTTGAACAAGGTAATAAGTTAACCTCCTCAGCCAACAAACAAAACGTCACACAACCACTACTTGAAATATCACATCAAAAACAGCATCTACAACAACATAAGTAGACGGATGAAATCATATGAAAATCTACACGAATACGATTCACCAAAATTTGACTTTTAGAATTCGGTCTGCACCAAACAAAGGACTAGACACATTACACTAGTTACTGACCAGTGTAAAATCAAAAATATCCAATACAGTCCTACAAGAGGAAAATCACGAAACCGAATAGCTAGGGGCTCTGTGGCAACGTCTCTGACTGCAGCACGCACTGGGTGACGCGGGTTCGAATCTCACAAGGGATAGATGTGCCTTGTGCACTGGTGAGTGCCAACTAGCACGAAATCTAGCTCAAGTAGGATTTCCCGCCAATTGTCTCCAACCATCTAATATTCATTACTTCCATTGGTATAACCTATCCTAAATTCCAAATAAGGAATTCAACCGGACTATAAAACATGAATGATGGATAACTTGTAGGTTGACCGTGTAAGGCATGCCGCTACTCTATAACAACGTATTAGATTAAATGTCCATAAATTCTACTTCAACAACTTATAATGTCATCAGTTGACTTGTACAACAGATAGAAAAACAAAAAATCTACAAATTTAATCACTTACTTTCATTGAAATTCTTACTCTGATTGGATTCAGTTAAGTTTCTTGAGCTGAGTACGTCAGGCTCTGACAACTGTCTATGCAGCTTTTGTGACTGGTTTGTGGTTTGTTGTGGCGGTTGTGGATTATAAGGAACACCTGAAGTAAAAAAAGTGGATGGCTTGTGATTAACTAATATATCAACTGGAACGCACAATATGCACTACTCAACAAAGTCAACATAAACAAATACCTAGCTTAGAACAACTCGATCTCTTCTTCAAATATTCATCACATAACATATCACACTAGTAAATTATTACCAATTATACACAAACTTTCATTCTTAATTTATAATTTTCCACAAAATTAAACATCTGACAACACTTAACTCTGAAACTTTAAAGCAGCGAAACTTCTTCAAACACAACACCTCAACTGGATATTTAAACGTTAAACATTGAACAAAAAAGTGCAACATTACTTCAATTGGACACACTTCATGCAGCACACACAATGGTCGGAGGAGAAAACAGAATTGCAAAGAAACCGTAAGTGACGGAAGTGTGAAGGGGATAAACAGTAACCAATCACATTGAGAATAGTGAGAATTTAACGGATCTGTGAGTTCGTAAAGACTGAATGTATCTCCATCACTGGGAACGATCTCTAACCATGTGTCCCCAACAGATTCAAACTTCAAACATCCAACGATGTGGAGTGAAATTCACGTGTTGTAGATAATGCATTATCCCAATAGCATAATCCATGCCATATTTCTAAGGTAATTAACATGGGAAAATGAAATTGCGTAGAAACACCCATTATTTATCGATCTGATTTGTAGTCTACAAGCTAAACGACCTAACCCTAGTCTAGTTAGTATATTCTCACACAAACATTTCATACACAAAATCATCGAATATATAATAGAACAGAAGGGACTAATAAACTACACTTACAAACATTTCGACATCGTTTCAGTAATTCCAAGTGGGTTAGAAAATTCACATTAGCATTGGGGACCAGACGTCGCCAATCATCTGCTGTTAAAGCAAACATCCTAGAACCTGGCATGTTGAACAACCGTTGACTCTTCACACCTTCAATTCGAAATTGCTTACACGCCCAATTTATCCAAATGATAACCTGAAATGTAAATAAACAAAAATGACATGATGAAGTCACACTGACAACCACTGCTTAATAATACCACACCGTTCACAGTTCCAATACTGGCACCAAAATCTCCTTCACAGTTCCATGCAGGCAAGTGGGCATTAGGATTGATTCAATTTTAACCGTTCGCTACAAATGAAGCGACACAAGCACAAGCCTCAAGAGGGTTAGCTATAAAACATGACAACTTCCCTCAGCATAACATCTACGACCGACACGAGTCTTTGAAGATAAAAAGTCAACACTTAGTGGATTTGAAAAATACAAAACACAAGTGCATCAATAAACAGCATATGATCACTTCTCACATTCAGAAACCTATGCGTACACCGTTCTTCCGAACACCACAAATTTCAAACTTATCACATAATCAACTGTCTCAACGACCAGTTTAACACAGAAATTGGAGGTATGCATAGAAACACGGATATCTAATTAACTAAGATCATCTTGACATATACATACACACCATCATGCAGACATTTTCAACTCCTTCAAAATATGCAGCAAACAGGGGTGGGCATACCAGCAGGCAACTAGCATGACAATTGCCCAAAATCATATCGGTCCTGCCAACTACAACTGCCATATGATATTCATTTTTACGTGGACACGCACCACTAGCAGCTTACTGTATTCAATATTTATTTGCTCCCAAATGTAAATGTATAAATGACTCATCAAACATTTTTGACATTACCTTTAGCTCACACCTTACAAACAGACCGAGTTTTAAAACGGTAGACAGTGTAACACATGTTGCTGGGCTATTCAAAAACACTAGGATTATATCTGTCCAAATAATACTTCACTCATAATCACTCACACTCATGTGTGTGTGTGATGTCAGTGCCACTTGTGAGGAGGATAAACACACCTATCTGTAGACAAATTAAATCACATGACAGGATGAAGCATTCAAGTGACATGCAACGATGAGTCAACTAGAATTAAGACACAACTATTGCAATGCATCTTAATGTCACACCGACCTGTCTTACATCCTCAGTCAGTAAATCTTGTATCCACTCGATGCCTTTAACCCAATTTATACCACCAACAAGGAGCTCTTGTCAACTTTGCTAACATGCTAAAGTCTGTTCATTTCTGTCAACGTTTATTCACACTTATGTTCAAATAAACTCGATGATGCGACTCATTTATTCTTCAGATACAGTGACAAACTATTCAAGCCACACTCTATCCTGTCAAACACAAAACACTAGCATTTTATGGAACTTTCTAATCACATCAATGTAAAACATACATTCTCAAATCGTTCAACTAACCACAGAATGCGAGAACTCAGGGCGAAATGACATGAAGAATGCACCTACCTGGGTGGAATTCCAGTCGATAGGATCGCGTGGAATATCATTCATTTCCATCAATCGACTGTAGTGGTTATCTGGAACCCATTTTGATAGATTCTCTAAATCATAAGTGCCTGCTGTACTTCCACTTTCAATCTCAGATGTTAAATAACCACAACTTGACGAAATTGATTCCGTCATGTTGTACGATTCTGGGACAACATCTTCCTCCGATTTCATACCATTTTCACTCCCCGTTGACTCCAATAGACCCGACCCCCCCGCAGCAATATCAGAAGCTGCGGCTAAAGCTGCAGCAACTGTAAGTGGAGATATGCATTCTGCTTTCGGACTTGACGGTTGTTGAGTATTTGATAACTGAGTGTTTTCACTTCTGCCTTCCTCATTTTTCGTTGTGTTTGTGTTAGATGCCTGGAGAAAACGAAGGGCAAAGTGGAAGTTGGACATAGGAAAGTAAATCGCTTCAGAAAAATATTAATAATAATATATCAAATAGAAACGTGACTTTTCCCATAGTTTAGGCAAAAGTTACAAGTCCATTTAAAGCCACAGTTCATTAAATTACGAATGTTACCAGTCTATGGAGTCCTTCATCATCATCAATAATCTAAGGAGAAATGCTAATCAGTAGATGAAATAGTTCACAGTGTCACCGGTGTTCACTCCATACCACCGAAGTGTTTTATTACATTATAACAATATTGTGATGTAAAGACACTACCCTGGTTAATACAAACTAGTTAAGTGATAATTCTGATGCCGATTGTATCATTTCTAATGACTTCAAGTTGAACAGAATATATATTGATTAGGATCTTGACTTTCAGATACCTCATATTCAGGTGATAAACACCATCCATCCATCGATGTTTCACCAGTCAACGTAGTATCATCCACTCACAAACACAAGAGGTATGATTTATTCCCAACTGTATGCCAATCCAACTGCTTGATGATTAACATGGAAATATGTCATCAAGTATGAATGTCAAATGACAATAATAAAATTCAAAAAAGATTACCATTACCTACTACATTCTAATCACGGAAACTCACCATGTCGTCCAGTCTGATCTTTGCAAATTAAATTACTATTCGACTTGTCCAAAAATTAGGACAGAAATAGAATAAAAAATAACTGGTTGCATAAAGTCATTCTCTGATTGGTCTGATGACAACAAGCCGAATCGGACCAATGAGAAAGTGAGTAGGTGGTCTACAGATGGGTAACCTTGAAGCTGATAGTCTACTGCAAGCGCCAATCACAACAGACTAATTGAATGGTGACTTTCATTTTATTGATCTTAGGGTGAATCAGATGATTTTGGGGGTGAATAATCAGTGATCTGCCTTTTAGTAAGGGCGAATACAATCAGACTTTCCCACATCCAGGGGTGTTAGGATGTACTAATGTGCGTCGGTGGCACAGCGGTTAGGACTCTCGCCGACCATGCACATGGTCCGGGGTTCGATCACCTGCCGGCGCACACCCGATATCAACGGTCAGCCTGTAAAATTTGGGCTCCCGATATCACATGCTGAAAATCCCATACTTGTACCAAAAATACGGTCTGGGATCAAGCTATAATCAAAACAAAAAAAAATTAGTAGTACAGTGACAGAAGAAACATCTATGCTAAATAGTCACTTAGATAGACCTTGATTACTGCCATTGAGAAGCTAGATATGAATGACTGAGATACTAATAACATTGGATACAATGAGACATTTAGACTAGGCAAACATAACGTTGTGTTCACTTCACTGAGGCCGAATAATGTCAGAAAATTGACTGGGCTATGGCTACAAAGCCGATCTCAATTCGACAAGAATAAGTCCAATAGGCAAACACATTAGACACACTAGTTGCTGAATGAAATGGCTCATTCTGTGTGAGTCAGTGCATGAAGCATGAAACTATTTAGTGAAGTGGGCGCCATGTTCACATATCGACATTAGGAGAAATTTGAAACGCCAACTTATAAATTGACACCACTTGTTTTATTACCACCGAATAATATAGTAAAAATCTCGTGAGTTATCCAGAAGAGATTTTTCATGAATCAGACTGTGAATCACACAATTATTGTGTGTGAAGGCATATGATACGACTCAGTTGACTAATTTTGAGTAGGTTGAGAAGGATCTCAAACAAGCAGTCTGTTGCCGATATGTCGAATTCTTAAGCTTATGATTTACAACCCCTTGAAAGTTGTTCAGAGCTATCAAACGATTCAAATTTAACCTCTTGGTACAGAGAAGTGTGTGGTTAACCTCTCCCTTCACAGGTAACGAGATCTGCTTTTGTTGCTTCAAGATCGTTAGCATTATTTTGATCTTCACTCACTGAGATGAAGTCATTATTAGGCTTCGTTTTTAGTTGTTATTATTAATCTGCTGTATCTCTTTCTTTTTAAACTCTCCTCTCACCTCTCAAAACTTTCCATCATACAATGCATAATGCATTTCAGTTGTTTGATTTATAGGAAGTTCACCGTGGTGCTGATGGAATAATGGATGGATATTTTTGACAATGTTCGAATCATTGTTATTGCTCTCTCTCTCTCTCTCTCTCAACTTCTCATATTCAGATTGGAAAGCATACATTCATTCACTAGTGAGATACTCATAGGAGTTGTTAGAATCGATTTTCATGTCTAATCAATCCCTTATTAGGATTTATTTTCAGAATCCTTTTTGAAGTTAGTCAGTTGACATTTTCCATCGTGATCACTGTCCACCATCTGAGAGTTGTACATTTTCAGTGTAAATATGAACGACATGAGTAGGTGTTTCCAATAACTTCTTTGAAAATGATACTTTATTATCTTGATTAATTTGTTATTTCTTGCTTCATTCAAGTTCATGAAGTGGAGAAATTCTGTGAAGCTTAGAACTCACTGCCTAACGAATGAGAAGGAGTATACAGTTGTCAATTATTTAGATTGTAAGCTCTGAACAAGGTATTGACGAGATGAAATCATTGTCATTGTCACTGTTATTTTCAGTGATTTCTAAGCTTGAGATGACAGAGACTACATCTGTTAGTCAAGAACTCGAAAGAAAGAGCTATTATAAAATGATTCTCATGACAAAAGTACTATTAGAAGTAGTTTGTGTTATCTGTCTTCATGACTGTGCACTATGGGGATTTGAAGTCATTCGGTAAGTGTTTTCTATCCTCTCTCTTTAGTTGGATTTCAGTTTGCTAACGTCAGGATGGATGGAGGATTTTGTTCACCTGTATATTCGGTGTCTGAAGGTTGAAATGATAATAATAATAATAGTAATGATAATAATAACCTACTTTATTCGAAAAACAGTACTCATGATATGCAGAATGGTATTCTCAGCATTTGTCACAATATCTTGCATCTGATTTCCTTAAAATATAAATAAAATTTAAAATTAAAACAAAACTAACCAGAGGAATTTGTCCACGTTTACGATATAAAGTCAAAAATATTCGAAGGACGAATTGAGAATATTAAACATAATAATAATAATAACAGTGAGTTTGTTTCAAACAGTATTGTCGATTCAGTTTGGAAACTTTAGCATGTTATAGATTATTGGATCTAATGTTCTGTTGATATAGTATAATGAGGAGTAATACAAAATTAACAGTTATAACACATCTTAAATGATGTTCACACTTATGAAAAAAATCAACAAATAAAAACAAAAAGAAATTGAGAGGACTATGAATATATAACGTACAATAACAATAAAGGTTGATGTTGTAAGGGTGGAGGAAATGGTTTATTTAATAGTGCAAAGAAGGTTAGTTAGTTCATGCCTAAAAGGCCAAATATGGTATAGTGAAATTTTTATACTTAGATGTATGTGCATAAAGTCTTCTGAAAAGATTTCTTGTTTTAGCTGAGGAGACACAAGGTTGGAGCTGCGGGTATGGTGGGTGCTCACAGTCTGACAAAATTCCTTTAGCAAATTTGTTGCATCACATCAAGCACCTATCAATAACAATGTCAACGATATGGCCCAATGGGATACCACTCGCCCTACTGACAGTCTTCAGAGTTCTACGAAGTATGACATGGTCTTTTTCAAGTAATCCAGTAAAGAATAAGCAAGAGTGAGCAGTTAAGAAGGATAGGTAAGATACATGAGTTGACAAACTGTAAGAGGAGGAGGGGTTGGTTGAGTTATGCCTGAGTGCCTTAACTTCTTAATGTAAAAAGTCAGACGAAATATTTTTTTAGAAATGTTTATTCTGGTCAGGTTACAGTCATTTGAAAAGAGACATGCAAATTTAGAGGATAACAGTCGAAGAGAACGAGCACATCAGTTAAATTTAAACACACAATCCTATCGAAGTAATCATATCGAGTGGAAAGCACCATATTTGTAAAGGGACATTGAGAACAGAGGAAGAATGGTAGATAGGACACCCTGCTGTATACTTCTCCTTCATTTTTTCATGAATGCTTTAGTCCGTTTCTGTTCGCCGAAATTTGTCGATTTAATGCATTTGATCATTTGAAGTTTTCTGGTGTGTTCCCTCCTCATCAGTCGTCTTTTTTAACTTTGCCAGGAAGTAGTCATTATCGAATTTTATCACGAATTTATTTTGTGTCATAAGTGTCATAGATAATACATTTGTTACGCGTACGCAAAGATGAGTAGAGGGAATATTGTGTCTAATGTGATGGCCTCTTTCTCTGAGTATCTTGTAGACAAAATGCCATTGGTCATAATCTTCTATCTAGTTCTCCTAAGTCTATATGTATAATCTATTAAACTTATATTCAACATAGGACATCGTGGTGTGATAACAAGGGGTACTTGAGTCATCTACATAAATGCTTTGCCATACCGATAGAGAATCAAGTATTTTGTTTATACGAGCAATAATGACTACGTTCACCTTACTGTATACAACTTTGTTTAAAGAACGTATTCGGTCAGATGACTACTCTGTTTTTTACGTAGTCAATTCTGTCGTCTTCTACATTCATGAAAAATGGATAGCAGAAATGATTTTTTTGACGACTTTTTTGAATTGGCACCACCTGCTTACCCGGTGGGTATTAGGGCGTTTCAGCAAACAGTCCAAAATATACCAGCATGATTGCATCAAAATTCAATAATATAAGTTTAGACATTTTCAACCTACTGCACCCTTTAATCCAACAAACTGAGCAGGTATCAGTATCAAGAGACATTTTCTGATGAAACTGCGGTAAATGAAACGGAGTTCAAGAATATCTAATTCCACTGACAGTATGTACCCCAGGAAAAACATTTATGGTGTAAATGTTTATTATGTAAGAAGCATACCGAAAATATAACTTGTCATTAAATCACCATAGCAATGAACTACGATGCTTCAATTAGCCGATTACCTCCAATCATCTAATATCAACAATTCAAAGTTGCACTGTGGTGGCTTGCCACCTAGAATGGTGGCCATATTGCAAAACGTACTTGGTAGAATTCATTCTGCACGAAATAAAGGACTAGACTAGTTATTAACCAGTACCCAATCAAATTATCTGTTCAGCGTAATAGATTACGAAAGACATTAAGTTCAGAAGTTAAACGTATATTGTTGAATTTTGATGAAATCATGCTGATATATTTTGTCCTTTGATTGAACACTAGTAACTAGTGCAACGTGTCTAGTCCTTTCTTTGGTGTAGACTGAATTCTGTCAGTCAGGTATTTGCAATGTGGCCACCATTCTAGGTAGCTCGCCATCACGGTGCACATTGATTTGATGATATTTGATAGTTGGAGGCAATCGGCCACAGAAAGCCTTGGACCTAGGTTTCGAGCTAGTTGGCACTCATCAGCAAGGCGTATCCGCAACCTTGAAGGAACTCATGTCCCTTCTGAGATTCGAACAGGCATCACCGAGTGCGTGCTGCAGTCAGAGATGTTACCACTGAGCTATTCGGGCTCGCGATTGACCTCCTGTAGGACTGTAGTTAGTATTTTGATTGAACACTAGTAACTAGTGTGACGTGTCTAGTCCTTTCTTTGGTGCAGACTGAATTCTATCAGTCAGGTATTTTTAGATACGCCTTGCTGATGAGTGCCAACTAGCACGAAACCTAGGTCCAAGGCTTCCTGCCGATTGCCTGTAATTATCAAATACTTTGTCCTGTATGTTGAAGCGTTCTGACACTCACTAGATAAAGATTGTCAGCACTTTAAAAAAGGGATGTGTCAATATAATCTCTCCAAAATACTAGTTCCTTTATAATTCTATGTCTTTTGAATAACTTAGTAACATATCGTTCAAAGTCAATCAAGGTAGGTTGTATTCAGGCCCACCTTTTTCGTGTTATTAAACCTCAGTCTACTTGTACTAGAAATGCTGATGCTTCTAAAATTATTAAGTTGACAGAGGTGAATCAACCCACTTCAATAATCCATGGACAATAAGGCAATATTAATAAGTTCAAATACCATGCAATGATATATATATATATATATATATAAATATATATAATTTTGCTTTATTCCAGAAACAGTACTACTGGTACAGTGTGGAATTTTCAGCACATATCTACAATATCTGCATCTAATTTTATCAAACATTTAAAAGGAGGAGTATTTCAAAAAAATAAATATAAAAACAACAACAACAAAAACACAAAAATAATAAACAAATGCGAAAAAAATACCAAGAAGAAGAAAGGAAAATAAACATAATAAATAATATCTCAGTATTGGGTAGTGGAAGCTATGATATGATTATGCATGCATGGTGACAGTGAAGCTGTAGTTATAAAAGAAGTAATGAAATGATATTTAAGAATGTTTATCGCCAAGATGATCAGTTAATTTGGTTGAAACAACTCTAAACAATCATAAAATAACACTTCAGGGTTGTTGTTTTGTTTTTTATTGGTAGGTCTAATGCAGTGTTTGTAGTGGTAGTGTGGGTAATCCTGCATAATACAAAATTTTTAAGGTGGTGACAATGGCGTTCACAACCAATGATTGTCAGTTAATATTGCCGAAAAAATATATAAAATAAGAAAAAACAACCGCAAAACTAATAATTACATGATGGTTAATGACAGAACAATTTTGCAATACTCATAGTGCTAATGTAGTCGGAACCAGTAGATGCACAAAAGAAGGAATACAGTAAGGTACAAAAAGGAAGCCAATGTTAATAATTTAGGTAGCTAACTATGTTTGAGAAGGAGTTCACTATAGAATACAAAATAAGAGAGAAATAAAAGAGCCAAAATTATGTTATTAACAACAAAGCAAGTCATAGGTTTCGCGCTTAACATTGTCTCTGTCACTTAGAACACGGGCCAAGTATGGTATTGTTGAGTTCCTGTACTTGGTTGTATGAGCATAGATTATTCTATGCTGATTTCTGGTTCTACTTGATGAGATACAAGGCGAGAGTTGGGAATAGAGGGGGTGTTGGGGGTCGGAGAGTATGGTTTTTGACCATTTTTCGCATGTATTCAGATACCTTTCTACTAACGTAGTGACGAGCTGACTGAGTTTTACACCACTAGTCCTACTAACTACCTTCAACATCCTTCTCATGATGGTACAGTCCTTTTTCAGTATCCCAGGAAAGACTGACGGGGAGCAGTAAAGTAGAATAGGTAGGAAACAAGAGTTGACAAATTGTGAAAGTAGAGGTTGGGTGATTCCAGATTGTCTAAGTTTCTTGATGTAGTAGGTTAGACAGAACACTTTCTTAGAAATCGTTCGGATATGAGATGACCAAGTAAGGTCAGAAGATAGAGCTAGACCGAGGTATTTTGCATCAGACTTAGTTTCGATTTTAGTCCCCTCAATGGTACAGACTTTATGAGTACTCACTAGTGTTTGTAGATCTCGTTTATGCCTAAAGGAGAACTCAATAGTCTGGCATTTTGAGGTATTCAGCATGAGGCCATTTAGTTTGGACCACTCACTGATATCCGATAGGAAGCTATTTAATTTGAAACAGTCTGACTGAGACTTAATGGGAAGCGAAACAGTCAGGTCATCTGCATATTTGACGAAGCTGATTTCGTCTGATAGCGGTAAGTCATGTGAGAAGAAAGAAAAGAGAAACGGAGAGAGAACAGCATCCTGAGGAACTCCAGCTTCAGTAAGCAATGGAGAGGAAGATAAACCATTATATACCGTGTACTGCATCCTATTAGAGAAGTAAGAGTGTAGCCAGTTGATAGCCCAGGGTTCAGTTTGTGTAAGGCTAAGCTTGTTTAACAATAGGCCTCTAGGTACAGAGTCGAAAGGAGATGTATAATCGAGAAACGTACAACGGACATACTTGGCCCCTTTGTCTGAGGAGGATACAATATTGTAATGAAACATAGCAGCAGCGTCTAAAGTACTTCTACCCTGTTTGTAAGCAAACTGCTTTGAATCGTTTGAGAAACTTAGGGAGGGACAAGTTTTAGTAACAATAATTTCTCCATTAGTTTCAAAAAAGGAGAGGTAATAGCGATAGGTCTAAACTTAACACTATCTCCAGAACCTGATTTGGGTACAGGGATGATTTTAATATCTTTCCACAAAGAAGGTACAATATTATTAGAAAAAGAAGTGTTGAAAATATTTGTAAGTGGGTTACTTAAAATATCAGCACATTTCCTTAGGACAATGGCAGGTATACCATCAGGGCCTAGACTCTGGAAAGGTTTAAGAGATTTTAAACATTTAAGAACATCAGAAGTTTTAAAACTATGAAAGTCACTGGTCATGTTATTTGTAACATTGAAGCTAAAAGGAACATTAGGAGGGCGGATAAAAGATCTATTAAGAGTATTTACATCAATAGAAGGGGCACAAATACTATGCTTACCACAGCCTTTAATTTCTCTAATAAGCTTCCACATGTTTCCTGGAGTTTTACGCGACAATATATATATATTAAACCTATCGATTTGTATAAGCGATTGAATGATTACAAATCAATAGAATATACTTCACACTCCTTATTTCTATGCTTATAGAATTAGTAATCTCACAACTGCGTTGTTTATTATTATTATTCCTCAGCATTAACTTGCAGTAAGCTCAACAACAAACAAATCAGGATATTTTTACTGATGACAAATGACATCTGATAGAACATTTAAACTCTTTCTCAAAATAGTCTGTACTCATTTAAATATTATTAATCCTCAAGAAGTAATCGCTAATTTCTTAGACTTTGATAATATACGTAATCGAACACTGTTACAAAGATTATTCGATGTCTCATCTAGATCACCAATTGATGTATATAATACACCATTCGGTTTAATATTTTATAAAACTAGTGAAAACTATGAGAAAACATTTGCTATCCCAATAGCTAATGGTGTTCCGGTTCTTCAAAAGTCTGTAGATCATACAGGAGCAGGGAGTAATCCAGATGACTTGCAAAGTACACAATCGGATAATGATGCCTATGTGGTACTGGGAGTTGCAGATGGTGATATTGACCAGCGTTTATCTGGTTCACTTGACACAGATATGATGAAGCAAAGAGACTCTTCAGCAAGTGTTCAGAGTACAGGTGAAGGTGAGAATGAGACAAGTGTAACAGGGAATGGTTCTACACAACAATTCCTGGTAAGTTGTAGTTCATCTCAGTACTACTTTGTTTTGTTGATTTTGTTTACGTGTCTTCACTCACACTGCGTACACCACTTACGATCTTGGCCCCAAACGAGCAAAACGGCTGTCCCGTGTGTTTAGATGACCTCGATTTGATTTCCAAAGGAAACTACGATGAAATCTCACCACTCGAACTGTGTAGATTGTAAATTGCTAACCAGTTTGTAGGTTGTGAATTTTTATTTTGAGCACTGAAAGGTGTCTTCGAAGCAAATGAGGCAGCACGTTTTTGTAACTAGCAATGGGATCCAGAACGAATGTTTCGCCCTGCCTGTGATACATCATCCGTTTGCATTTGCATCCTAGTCATTAAAGAATTCATACAGAAACTAGTAGCTACTATCTGTCGTTTCAAACATAAAATTGTTAATCATCAGGTTACTCAGCGACTTGTCGCGCAAAGATTATCATTCTGAACAACTGCTTTAGTCCTCCACGGAATGACAAGGATTAGAGATTGGGAGTGACTGGGTGCAGGTGTATTTGCCCCTTGTAACCATCCTTATTTATTCGATCTACATCATTTTTCATGTAATTGTTTTCTGTGCCATACCCTATCGTCTAACGTTATTCCACTACATTTCTGATTTCTACCTTTTTCTATGCTTTTATAAGGTGCATCAACTTGTAGTTTTGAGCGAAGATCATTCAGACAGTTTGCCTCTAATTTTATTAGTTGTAAGCTATAGATAAAAAGTTTTCAATATCGTTCTTCATTTCTAGTAATGCATACGTTAAAAGCTAAAATTGTGACACTATTTGAATTGATTGAATTAGAGCATAGGACCTATCTATCTATCATATTAGTTGACAGAGTGCATAACTTGCTGAGTGATTACTGCTCACTCACAAAAAATTGAATTCATCTCAAAAAGCAAAAAAAAACAACCAGCCACTGGAGATTGCGCAATATGCTAATTGAATTTTGTACGATTAGTAAGTAAATTTGCATTTTCAGTCAAAAATAAGACCTTGATAATTTAGACATAAATTAACAGGTCATTAATCCAGGATAGTGTCAAAGGTCATTGATTAATCATCCGACAAACTCTGACCCATAGGTATATGAGGTTATCTCTTTGTTTCCTATGACAGCTCTTTAACTTTTCAGAAGAATGTAAGGGTTCAAATTGGTCTGAAGTTATGCAAGAGAGTGTAAGTTTCGTGGATAATCTGCTTGAGATATCAAGAACAGAAAATTTGTATTACCCTATTTCAGCTAACATTATTAATAAATGAAGGTGGTGACTAGGCATAAGTAAAACATGTCTACGTCGTCTTAGTCTGTGCAACTCTACAGTCTCATAGTTTGAGCTCCTACTCTTAACTAAAATTCCATGCCTAAGTTCATTATTACTGAATATATATTGCTTCACCTTAAGTTATAGATTGAATGAAGGAATCTATGGTTAAAAGGCCCTTCAGTCTTTTTGTATCTTCTGTCTTCAGCAGCCATTTCTCGGAAAGAAGAAAAGTATGACAGAGAAGACTGCTGCACAGTATAAACCTCCTTCAATAGTTAACCGAGGATCACGTAGACACCAGAAGCAAATTATTCATTTAGTTATCGTCTTCACTGAAAGGAAGAGTATCATCTACATACTGCATGCTGATGCGCCTGTGTTCAAAGCTTCTTATGTATCACTGTTCACGCCTAGGCTTCAACTATCTCTTAGTAAAACTGAAGAATAAACACACTGAAGATTACAGGTACTCGAAATGCAAAGACTAAATGTTTTATATAACCAAAGATTCTTCTCATGTAAAACCCCTTCTAGTTTGTGGAAACTTTTCAAAGAAGCGATGTATTTCTGTCTTATCTCTTAATGTTGATACTCTAAATAAGTCTTTCATACGCTCTTCTGTCGATATCCTTCCTAATGTTACAAATCATATAGACAATAATTTTAGTGGTTTTAATACCCTTGATGTGCTTAAATGTCTCCGGTCTCTTAAGCCTTCCCAAAGCCTTGGTCCTGATGGTGTACCTGCCATTGTCCTCAGGAACTGTGCTGATATTTTGTGTTACCCTCTTACTAATATTTTTAATGCTTCCTTTTCCAGTAATGTTCTACCTTTTGCATGGAAAAACATTAAAATTATCCCTATAACAAAACCATCTTCTGGTGCGGATATTTAATTTAGGCCTATTGCAATTACTTCTCCTTTTTTAAAATTGATAGAAAAATTACTTTTACTTCGTCTTGAACCTTCATTGAAACCTTTTAATGATCCTAAACAATTTGCATATAAACATGGTAGATGTACCTTGGATGCTGCGATTGTCTTATATCATAATGTTGTTTCTTGTTTAGACAAAGGTGCTAAATATGTTCTTGGTGCTTTCCTAGACTACACATCTGCTTTTGACTCTGTACCTAGGGGCCTTTCATTGAACAAGCTTCCGTTGACGCTAACAGGATCTTAGACTAAGAGTAGGTTGCATTCTTATTTTTCTGATAGAATGCAGTATACTGTATATAATGGTAAATCTTCTTCTGCTTTGCTTACAAAAGCCGGTGTTCCTCAAGGTGCCGTCCTCTCTCCTTTTCTTTTTTCTTTCTTCCTACACGACCTACCTCATTTAAACGAAACTATTTTTGTCAAATATGCTGATGATCTGATTGTATCACTGCCTATCACTTCCGAGTCTGACTGCTCCAAACTGAATAGCTTTCTGTTGGACATACGTAAGTGGTCTGAGTCACATGGTCTTATGTTAAATCCTTCCAAATATCAGGCAGTTAACTTCACTTTCAAGCATCGACGTGACATACATGAACTAGTTAGTTCCCATGATGCCTGTAGCATAGATGGCACTGAAATTGAAACCAAGTCAAGCATTAAATACCTTGGATTAGTTCTTTCCTCTGACCTTTCATGGGCATCCCACATTCTTATCAATCTCTAAGAAAATATTTCCTCTTACCTTCTACATTAAAAAGGTAAGACAATCAGGTATCAACCAACCTTTACTTCTACAGTTTGTAAATTCCTGTATTTTACCTATTGTACTCTATTGCTCTCCATTAATCTTTCCTGGGCTTCTCAAAAAAGACTATGTCATATTACGAAGGGTATTAAATGCTGTGAGTAGGGCTTGTGGTATGCCACTGCGTGAGCTCGCCAATACTATAGTCGAGAGACACATAAATTCCTTTACAAAATGTTCAAAGGCCGTACTATCTGACTCCCTTCACCCCCTTTATTCACAACTATCCCATTGCATCTCATCAAGTAGGACGAAAATTCAATATAAGAAGTTATATGCTGGAACAACTAAGTACGAAAATTCTACAATACCGTATTTAGCCCGTATTTTATGTGATGAAGACACTGTTAGACGTGAAACACATAAGTCACTGCGTAATTAGCAAAGTGAATCGACCCTTTCAATGTTCATCTTTCTGTAATTTTATGGTGTCACCCTTTCTATCGTTTAATTATAACTTTGCTATTTTATTTCAGTTGTTATTACTACTATTACTATAAGTTTATACTTAATGCATATTTTTCTCCTTATCGCTGCTACGACAAGGTTTTGTTATTATTATTATCATTATGTAATGTCGATTTTTTTGTCGTTCTGAGTAAATTAGATGCAGTATTGTATTGAATGCTGAAAATTCCTTGCTGTATCATTAGTACTGTTTTTGGAATAAAGCAAAAAATTATTATTATTTTTATTATTATTACATCTTATATTTCAGGACACCACAAAGTAAGCCATCAGAGCTTCTCGTACAATGACTCTTGACATCTAATAACATCGCCATATTATTTATCTACCTTTCAAACAGTCACTGAACTATTTTCTTCATGTTTTTTTTGTTTTAGTTTATCACTAGAACATTTACACGTGAATGTTTAAAAGTACAAAAGTTACCAATATATGATTCATTCACTGAAACTTACAATATTACTCAGTACTTTTATGTGGTTCGAACAAATCGTGCTCGTGCTATACCTAATGTTAAATCATATGCCGAAGTAATGCAACACTTTCCAGTCTCTTTAAATATTGGTTATTTACAAGACACAATGCTCAACTGTACACTTCGTACTATTTCTAAGGTAAGCGATATGAGATTATTTTAATATATGTGTAAAACCTGGACACTGTGGTAGTAAGTAATTCCATATTAGTTTGTTTATTAGATGTATCACACAGTCAGTGAAACAGTATTATTATTTACTGGATGACGTTTCGAACAAAATATATTACTGTTCATAATCATATCAATTGTAATCACACGACTTTGAAACTTGAGTTTTATAGTTTTCTTTGTTCTCTCCTATTTGTCGTCGTTGGGGTAGTAGCATTTTCCAGATATCTGGGACAGGGACAGGTGTTGAGTCACTCCTATTACATGTATTTGCACTTGATTCGATAAACAAAGCCTCAGTCAGTTATCAATCTCTCCCTCCACCCAGCTGTTACATTAGATTTTGAAACTGTCATCCTATCCCATCCATCCTATTGTATCCTTGTGTGTGTGTAGTTGCATGTAGTGAGTGCTATAGCTGAACTATTCTCTAGATTTCTTATCTTATTCCGGTCAACTAATCTAAATTTCGCTAGGCTTTTATGCTCAGCTAGTCTGACTGACTGCCCTTGTTCTACTAGTTTAACCTATGTATTTGCAGGGTATTAGATAAACTAAATTGTTTTGTTTTGAAGGCTCCACAGGATCCTTTAACCGACAAAGCTTGTTTCTAATTGAGTTTGTGGGTTTGAATACCAGCCACTTTTATTCCTACCTTGTTAAGAATTCTGCGTAAGGTTTCCAAGGTTCCTTCTTTGTACTAATGATTTAGATTCCTTATTGTTGGTGTCATCATTAATATTATTATTATCACTGTCGCTACTATCATTATTTATTTTATTTTTACATTTCCTTACATATTTCTTGACTAATTTATCCGGGTAATTATTAAGTTTCAAGGCTTCTTTTATGTGTATCACTTCCTGTCTTAGATTTTCCTTGGTGCTACTTAGTTTTTGTGCTCTCTTATTTAAACATTTCACCAATCCTATTTTTACTGACATAGAATGGGATAATCAGAAGTCCAAATATCTGTTTGAATGTGTGGGTTACCTGTAAACGCTAGTGTTTAACTTCCCATCTTCTTTCCTTTTTACACTGCAATCTAACATTGGAAGCTCCTCTTCCTGACTTTCCAATTCATAAGTGAATTGAATTGCCTCTACCTTCGATTTGATGTGTTCGAAAAACTATCTATATCTTGTGTTCTAAGTACATTGAATGTGTCATCTACATACCTCCACCATACTTTTGGGGTGGGGGTGAACGTTTCAATCGCTATGTCTTCCCACCTGTCCATTAATATATCTGCTACAACCGGGGATATTGGTGATCCCATGGCAACTCCCTCAGTTTGTTTGTATATTTTCCCTTGGAATTTAAATACTGTGGAATTCAGACATAGCTGTACTCCCAGCATTATGTCCTCAAGTGGCACTTTTTTCCTAAGTTAGAGTTTTTGGTCAGAAATGAGTTCGTTTGCAATTCAATTTTATAAACCAGGTCTCTGTGTACAAAAGGAGATGGTCGTGACTCTGAATCTACCATGGTAATACATTTTACTTATTATTCTGCCTGTTATTAATATTTTTGATTCATGTAAAACTATCTTCTATCAGTTGCATTATCTTAACTCACCTCAACATTATTATTATTGTTATTATTAATATAACTATTACTATTGATATTACTCTGTTTGCAATTCTTGATATATTCTCTAATGACTAATTGTTTATCTAAGTGATGTAATTGAAGCGTAATGCAATTTATCTTAATTTTGATCTCTCTAACTCCTTCTCCCACTTATCTATTTGAACGTCACCTGGATAACATTCACACCTGTCTTTCTGCATGACTAATTCAATGTAGTTTATTTGTGCTTATCAGTCTTATATCTTCCAATGTAATTTCAAAAGTATATATATATCCGTGTATGTAGAGTATTCAGCAGCTGACGAGTTCTACCGAAATTTGATGAATTCATTAAATCCTGTTCTATTAACCTGCTTTGTTGCTTGTTTTAAATTCGTATCGGGAGATAAATGTTTTCAAATCTTTTGGTGTGTTCTTTTTTGTCTTTTTCCTTGTTCAGGTATATACTAAAATGTTATCTTATTTTGGGCATAAAAGAGATATGTTCTCAGAAGATGATGCTTTAGATTCACGTGCAGCAAATTTCTCACCTTCATCAGGTAAAAAAAGTGTTATGGATCATCATTCATCATCACGCGTAAATAATAAACATTCATCCTTTTTAAATGAACAAGAAGATTATCAACGTTTGAGAGATGAATTCAGTGTAACGCTGCATAAATTTAATGGTGTACTCGAAGAGACATCTGTTGCTTTGTTGGGTGTATTTAATCTTACTATACCAGATTTTATGCCAGACAATGATAATTATGTGATTGATCCAACAAGAGATTTTATTTTCAATGATAAACTGATTCAATTATTTAAAGAATGGGGTAAGTGGGAATTGACTCGTTCGAGCTATTATTATTATTGTTATTATTATTATTATTATAGTAGCACTGACTTCACATTGGAGTTGAAAATCCGGATCTTATTTTGATGTTGAGTGCTGTTGACCTCCACACAGACTTGAGAGTAGTGAAAGCTTGTCTTGCTTTTCCGATTCTTGCTTTGATATCCTCGTCAGTTCCGTCCGCCTGTAGTTGAAACGATGCTTCCAGGTCGGTAGGTAAAAGAGGTTGTTTCTTTCAGGTTCCTCCCATTTATGCTAATCGTTGTCTGTTGTTGTTGTTCTTGTCCAGGAATCTTCATTACCTCTGTTTTCTCTATGTTCACCTGAAGTCCCTCCTATCTTTGATGCTTCTTCTGCCAACTTGTTGCTTTTCGCTTGCATATCTTCCAGTTTGTGGGAAATCAGACATATATCATCGGTGAAGTCCAGATCCTCCAAGTTCTCTTTTGTGTGAGTCCATTTTATGCCTGTTTCCTCATTGCCCACTGTTTGTCGCATTATCCAGTCTACTGCAATCAGGAAAATCATTGGCGATAGTAGGCAGCCTTGTCTTACTCCTGTCCTCACTTCGAAGGATTCCGTAAGTTTCCCGTTGTGGATTACTTGGCATGCAGCATTGTCGTACAGCTATTGGTGGGTTTTATTTTGTTGTAAACGTCTTTTAAATATTTATTTAGTAGGCTTGTTATCACTATTATTATTATTGTCAATAGTATTCCTAATTGTGGTGGATTGGATTATGCGTCAGACTGAGCATTGGGAGCGAGGAGACAGAAATACGCTGCACCAACCGATAAGAAGACTAACTCTAGAAGAACTGTATTTCGTCGAAGGATTTATGTTTAGTGTCACACAAACTCGGAAACTTGCCGTGCGAAAGCCAACAAACTGGCTGAAGAAGCAGCCAGTGAACGCAAAACTCCAGGTGAACATAGAGAAGACGGAGGTGATGAAGATAACCAGCGAACCGCAACAACAACAACCAGCACCAATCACCATCAACGAGAGAGAGATTTCTTCACTTATCTAAGAAGCATTGGTTCAACTAAAGGTGAGAAGCCACAATCGGAAAGGCGAGATACGCCTTCATCAACCTGAAACCAGTTTGGACATCTTCTACACTTCACTCAATCGGCATAAAGAAGAAGATTTGAATTTTCAACAAAAATGTGAAGTCAGTCAGTCCTTCTCTGTGGGTCAGAAACTTGGCCAGCTTGTCACAAAAAGGATTTCCAACAGCCAGCTGCAGAATTTTATAAACAGCTGACTTCGCCAGCTCCATATTGAAGATCAAACGGCTGGCCAAGAAGAATTACCAAAAAGAAACTCTGATTGGTAACAAATTAACCAATGACCTATCGTTCAAAGGTTATGTAGGAGAAAATGGAGGTGGATTGGGCATACGCTGAGGAGACTGTCGAATGACAACGGGCGCAATGCAGACCACCGCTCAAGTGGAATCCGGATGGGAAACGACGGGGGGGGGTTGTCGTCCGAGGGTGACATGTAGTAGATGAAGAATTATGGGCAGTCGTGAAGCCAGTTAAAAAGGAATTCATATATAAGAATGAAATAGAGGGAGTGTGCTGCTGAAGGTGTATGTCACACTCGAAACTTAAGGGAATGATAGGGATATTGTAAAAGAGAAGTGATAATTGCAATTACCTCATAATTCCTCATTTGAATACAGAATATTGTACTGATCTGTGGAATGTAACTATATCACCCATATATTATTATTATTACTTGTCCCTTGTGTTCCGAGTGAAGCATACGGCTTCATCAGCACATCTCCAGTATACTCAGTTCCTTGCCGTTACTTTCAACTGGCTCCACAACTTCTCATAAGCTTCCGTTCTCCCTTCACATGACCTTCCTGTCATCGAGGCACAACTCATCGCCTCTAATTTCATTCTCCGGTCTGCCCAGCGTTTTGTGTCACTCAGTGACCTCCTCAGTATATATCTGATCCATCTCCATCTCTTTATTCAAATTTAGCCTAGCATTAGATTGTTGCCAGAGCACTAATAACTGCTTATCTTCCCTGACCGGTCATCTGATCTTCATTATCGAGGCAACAACAAAGGCAGATGTTGGTGAGAGTTCACTGTAGCCTGTTCAAAGTGTTCTCCAAGTATCTGAATCACATAAAGGCACCAAGTACACTTGTCTTGATCCTATCCACCTGTTGTTGAAATGCTACTGCCAGGATGGCAACTGAAAGTTGATAGTGATTGGCACTTGTTCATGTTAGTTAGGGTGTATTCATCCCCTCTGTCTCCTCTTTGTTCATCTTATGTCCTTCCGGTCTTTTCTGCCTCCCCTTTGATAATTTATCAGTCATTATAAAATACTTTATTTTATCAGTTAGTGTTTGTTAATCTTCAAGTTTGTGAGACACAAGACATAGATCATTCACAAATTCCAGATCTTCTAGGGTCTTATTGTCAGTCTTCACACTCCCCATTGAGGTGTGTCTCACGATCTAGTCCACTAAAGTGGAGAAGAATATCGGTGATAGTAGTCAGCCTGCCTTGTCTTACTCATTACTAATATTTACATCAGTAATATTTCTAAATGAATATTTTTTTATTATTTATTTTCATTTCTAAATAGACGAACAGATTGACGGTGCACTAGAAATTCTTGACAAACCACGACCAATTAGTTTAGGACCATTGGATGAAGTTGATCATTGGCGTTATCGTAGTAAAATTTTGACAGCTATATCAGAATCACTGAATACAAAACAATCACGTTGGGCAATCGATACATGGAGTATACTAAATCCTGATTTGCAGCCATATACACGTGGTGCTGAAATAAAATCATTAATGTTTGAAGCTAAGGATAATTCAAGGTAAGTAAGTCATCACTCATAATGTATGTATTTGAAGTCAAAATATACAATGGTACTGTAAATGTTTTATAAAATAACACAGTGAGTTAGAGATATGCTATTTTTTCATTCCCATTGGTTCCGAATGAAACGTACAGCTTCAGTGGGACATCTTCACTTTATTCTGTTCTCTGAAGTTTTTTTAAAGTTAGCTACACGACTGCCTATAAAATTTTCATCTCTTCTTCACAAGATCACTTCAGTATCACTCCTAGACCCATACATAGCTCGTCGTTTCCCATTCGGGTTTCACTTGGCGGCCTGCCTAGCACATGGTGTCACTCACTGGTCTTTTTAGCGTGTGTCCAATCCACGTCCCATTTCCTTTTGCACATTTATTAGGCAATTTGTTCATTATTGATTTGTTCCCAGAGTTCCTTGTTGCCTATCTTTTCCAACCGGCCATCTGATCTTCAGTATGGAGAGGAAGCAGCTGTTGACAAAAGTCTACACCCTGTTGGAAATATTTTCAGTGATGCGTCGAGTATTTCAACCATAGTGAAGCATCGAAAATTTACCCACACTTCTCAGGTTTACCTGAAATGCAAGATGCTGCTACAGACTGGACTACGTTATCATAGGAGAGTGATCACTTCACCTATTTGGAAGTGTATCAGCACCAACTGATTGATTGGTGACGAAATCTCAGCACGATCCAGAAAGCTCGGGCTGCTTTCGCTAACTTACATCGTCTCTGGCGTAGGCGTGACATCCGGCTATCAACCAAGGACGTGTGTACTGCTCAGCAGTTCGCTCCACCCTTCTCTATGGCGGTGAGACGTGGCCACTGAAGCGGAAGACATGAAGAGATTGACTGTTTTTGACCACAGATGTTTACGATCTCTTTCTCGCGTTAGGTGGTATAATAAGGTAAGTAATGTTGACGTTAGGCGTAGAGTGTTGGGCAAAGAGGGAAAATCACTCGAAGAGGCTATAAAGTTACATAGATTGAGATGGTTAGGTCACGTGCTGCGCATGCCTAACCATCGTCTCCCCCGACGGGCATTACTAGCTGATATAGGTGCAGGCTGGAAAAGAGTAAGTGGTGGCCAAACAAAAACATGGCATCAATGATCCTACACAAAGCGGCTCGTAGAATAGCTAACAAATGGCCAAATCGTTGTCAATGGCTTAGCAGATGTATTCAGTCTCTTAACCTTCATATTCCTTTCTACCATTACTCATTCTGTTTCACTCTTATACTTGTCAAAACTCTATTGATTCTCTTCTCTCATTTTCCTGTCTACCTTTGTGTGCTCTTTGGAACGTGGCAACTCGAACTGCTGCACTTCGGTGCCAAGTTCTATGTTGAATCCAGCAGCAGCAGCAGGTTTACCTGTTAAATATAGAAAAATCTGTTGGTATTCACTCCAGTAAGAGAATTATGCCTATTTAGAGTAATTTTGTCATCAGACTTTCTTCGTGTTTACTATTCGGATGATAGATCTCAAAGCGTTTATAATACAAGGTGCAAAAATGACTTCTAGCATCTATTTGGTAGTCTACTATCATTTTTTGTATATACTGGGAGATATTTTCGATAGGGAGTGATTGATAGAAACCCCTTTTTCTTCATACTTTTGTATGTAACATAAGGCTTCAAACTTCAAAGATTATTTATGCTTTTTGATTGTACACAAGTCAGTAACTGGTGTTGTGGTGGTGTGATGCAGACATATCGTGATATCCGGCTATCGACCAAAGGGCGAGTGTTCTGCTCAGCAGTCCGCTCCGTCCTCCTTTATGGCTAGTGTGAGTGAGACCTGGCCATTGAGAGTGGAAGACATGATGTGAAGGCTAGCTGTCTTCGATCATAGGTGTCTGCGTTCTATCTCCCGTGTGAAGTGGTATAATAAGGTGAGCAATATTGAGGTTAGGCATCGGTCGAGTGCTAGGTAAGGAGGGGAAATCAATCGACGAGGCTGTGAAATTACATCGACTGAGATGGTTAGGACATGTGTTACGTATGTCTAGTCATCGCCTTCCTCGACAACGGGCAATGTTAGCTGATATAGGGTCAGGCTGGAAAAGAGCTAGCGGCGGTCAAACGAAAACATGGCACCAGTCAATGAAATCTACAACAGTTAGTCTAAGCCACGTAGGAAGGTGTAGACTTCCTGGTTGGGGTCCTCGGGACGGTAAAAACCAATGGTTGGAAACAATTGGTGACATGGCTCAAAATCGTTCTCAATGGCTGGCACAGATGCATCCACTCCTTGTGACTTATGATTTCCAATGAAACTGTTTTGTTCTTCGTTATTACTATTCCTTTGTCTCACACCTGTGTTTACTGTCTATATTATGCATTTCTTCTACTTTCTTCTCTTACTTTGTGTTCTACACGGAGGGTGGCGACTTGAACTGCCGCACATATGTGCAAAGTTCTATGTCGAATACAGACAGACAGTGATGCAGACAGTGTGTTTCAACGGAATATGATTCTCACATATTCCCACAGTTCAATTCGGACGGCATTAGTAACAGAATACTATGTATATTTTTGAACATTCTATGTCATGTCGTTTAATGTGTAGGCCAACATCACACGCTCAGTTAACGAATTGGTTAACGAATATAAACTGTGAATATAATAAAAAGCGGTTTGATTAATGAAAGATATACCTTGGTTTCCATGTCTTGCCTTCTGTTGTTACAGTGTAATGTGTCTTGTCCTATCTTTGGTGCAGACTGAGTTCTATCAGGCAAGTTTGAAATGTGGCCATATGCTACTGGGTGGCTTGCCATCATGACGCACTTTGAATTGTTGATATTAGATGGTTGGAGGCAATTGTCAAGAAGTCTTGGACCTACGTCTCGTGCTGATTGGCACTCGTCAGCAGGCCTTATCTTCAACTCATGTCCCTTGTGAGATTCTAACCCGTGTCACCCAGTGAGTGGTGCAGTCAGAGATGTTACCACTGAGCCCCTACCTATTCGGTCTCGCGACTGACCTCCTGTAGGACTGTATTGGATATTTTTGAGTGGATACCAGTCACTAACTAGGTGGCTCACCGTCCAATGAAAAACATTCAATACAGTCCTACATGAGGTCAGTCGCGAGCCCGAATAGCTCAGTGGTTGCAGATACGCCTTACTGACTGACTCGTGAGTGCCAACTAGTACGACACCTAGGTCCAAGACTTCCTGCCGATTGACCCTAACCATCTAATACCGACAATTGTTCATGCTTGCTATTTTCTTGTTTTTAACATTTGACTAAATAATCCAGCTGGTTTTATGCATATTTTTGTCTAGCATATTGTCTAATCAGTCATTTGGTTTGCTTTCATTTCAGTAATTTAAATATCCCTCAATAGTTTATGCAGAACCAGAAAACGTTTTGAGTGAACTTTCTGTGGTTTCACTAACGTGTTATTCTTTCGGACATTGCAGTGATTAATCCATGAATTTAGATTATGCAACTTATGGGGATTTCCATTAATTTAATTTCACTTGTTAGATTTCGTCACGAACCAAGAGATACCAGTCGCTAGTTCATGGATGGCTAGTCGACACAAGTCCTGGAACTTCAATGAGAAGTTGTGACCATTGGGGTCCACGAAATCAGGGTGAAGTGGATGTTAATGGAAGACATTGGTTCAGCGTAGCGCTATGTAACGAAATGAGAAAGTTTGAACCCACCAGTCATTGAATTGTGATCAGAATGACTGAATAGTCAATGAGCTTGGTGCCGCAACCTGAAGGTCCCGACTTCGATCTTTGATGTAGTCGAGGGTGCACACTGCTGGAGAGTCTCAACACAGGACGAAACAGCTGTCTAGTGTGCTCCTCGATTTTCAATGATATCTCTAACTGATGTTAGTTCATGACGAGGTGCTAACAACCGAAATGAAATAGGCAGATGGATGTTAGAATATAAATAGCCAGTAAAGACAAGTAGAAATAACGTCAAAGACTGTGTTGGTGTACAATAATAAGATGGAGTAATAGTCTATTGTAAGTTATATAGGGTGACTCTAAACTATATCAGCCCAAAACGACACTACCTAATGAAGTCCTTGACAAATCTCCATCGACCAATCACACGTGGCAGAAGCAGAAGTATGTAATTTGAAAAATACGCTTATATATAAGTAATGCTACGTTAAAAAGTAGTTACATGGAATAACTTCCTTGTATATGTTCCGAAAAAAGATTCCAATTTCCCATAGGAGTCCTCATAGTTAGGTTAAACCAATTTCGGTGAGTAAATTCAACGAGACAACTGTATATCGTTGTGTTTCTTGACTGATTCACCTCTCCGACCCTCTTTTTTAGATGACTCTAGAAACCTTCGATGTAATTTATGTGGGTCCCGTAGAAAGGATTAACGAAATCGCCCGTATTATTGACCAAGTTATGAATACATTCAACATTTTTCCCTTTCAATGATTCCGTGGTCTAAGCAGTACATAAATACTAGTTGTGGATGAAATTTGGTACTAATTTGTGTACAGCACCTGTAATTCCGCCTATATATTACGGACTCATCTGACTGGTTGCTCAAGGTCATTAATCCGTTCACTAGGTAATTTGGTTTCGGGCTGCTTTCCTTGGAGTCACCTCATATATATATATATATATATACATTAGGGAAAAGTCTTATTTCTCGTGGTAACTATATGTTTTATACTACATTGTCTCCTCTTATAATATCTGTAACACAAGTACTCATATTTTGCCTTGAACATGTTCACAGCAGGTTCAGATATAATATTTATCATTACAATCATCGGCAGTTTTGCGGCGGATATCTTTCTGATATAGAATAACAGGCTAGTTGTTATAGGGTGACGAAATAAATCGTAGTATTTGTATGACAAATGTGCTCGGATGAATAGAATTTTAAAATGTGAGATGATGGTTATTTGATGGCTAGTCATAAAAGATTCACACAATTTGGAGTGATCGTACTTTTTATCCCAGAAAGTGTCTTTCCTGTTTTTGTTTTATTCCTAATGCTTC